CGCATATATTGTCGTAGTGATAAAACGAAACTACGTACAGGATATAAGAACAATTAGTATTTTTCACGAAATACAATTGGAAATGTATTGTGTTTCATATAACCAATTTAATATTGGACGTAAATAATAATGTGACCTAATTATATAATTTGTATATAACTAAAATTATAAGTGACAAAAGTGAACCTACGGCTTATATTAAACTTAATGCAAAGGTGCTATTATTAGTATGAATCTAGTAGTGCATGGCATCTTAAAATTAATAAAAAATTGCCAAGTAAAGAATTAATTAATTGGGCATGTTTAATTTTAATTTAACTAATTAATACTCTGATAGATATATGTACCAAGTAAAGAATCTTTTACATGTCACTGGGACAGTGGTGTTGACGCACATGTGTATCTCTCCATTGTTCACAGTACTTTCTCTTAAAGGTTATGTATCACCATTGGAAATGTTTACTCTTGGGAACTTATTCGAAATTAGCTAACAAAACGCATAGATAAAAAACATATGGCCATCTTTGTCTGGGCTTTCTGTAATATGCATCTGGGTTTCGATAATATGTCAAGCCGGCCAATAAGTAAATAGTGAAAGTAGACTCTTAGGCGCGACAAGTCAAGGGTTATTTGACTTCTAGCTTTAAAATATCTATTGACACTCTGCACTCTACATGACCATTAGAACAAAGGGGGCACACATGGAATATTTAAACATTTCATTGAACTATCCACGACCAATGGACATTTATTCTTTCCCTTTCCATGCTCAGATCATACTTTAACTCCGCCCTTTTATTCCTTTTCCTAATCTCATTACAGTCTGTGTGGATAGTTCTAGACTTCCAAAAAATCAGGTAAGTTACATTTTTTAGACTCACGACATCTAAGCTATCAAGTCTTATTCAGAATCAGCCAGTACAACTACCTACACATCATTACACGAAACACATAAACAATTGTAACTTATTTCATCAAATATATATCGAATCAACTTCAACACGCGCATCTACCTCGCTAGTTTCACATGTTCCTTTAAAAGAACGCCATTAATTTCCATTAATCTGCGGGAATGCGACAAGCGGTATTTTTCTGACACCCTTCAATGGTATCCTAGCTTAGTGCCGCCGCTCTTATTCATCGCGACCAGTGGGCTTGTAGCTCGGACAGACGGAGGATATTTCTCCGTGCAAATCGACTGTCATAGATGGTCCGGTGCGGGACGCACATCTAAAATCGCTCTCGTAGTTGCGCCCACCCGACACAACACTAAACATTTTAGTACTTCGAACCTGATTCTGGAGACACTGATTCTGTGAGAAGCGTAAGGAGAAGCCAATTAACACGTAAAGGAAGGAAGCTGACGCCTCACGAGGTCGCCTATCCTTTATAACCGGATGCCAGACGATCAACAAGTTCTAGGTAGTTGCAGCAAAATGTAGTTGCAGCGCCTACACGACGCAATACATATCAAGTAGTATTATTTTATTTGAACATTAAAAGGAATGATAAGATTGAAAGAAATTACCGCTTTCAATCAGGAAGAATAGAAGGAAGCTTACGATTTTTCATGACAAGTACCCTCTGCCTGAAATCGTTTATTCCTGTAAAACTCGTATTCTTCCAACGTGTATTTTAAAAATACAATGTACTTATAAAAGTTTATCCTAGATATCCAAATAGTACCATGTCACCAATGATTTTTCTATTAAAAGGTAGAATGTATATAATGTACATAATATTCAAATATGTTTTTATTACTATTATTATGTTACATTGTTATTTGTTGTAGTAATAATAGTAATACTTGTAGTACAGAATGGATTAGTCCTATGGGGTAAACCATTTAAGAAAAGCGCTAAGAGTTTTACCTCATAAGTAGTATGGAAATGAACTCATATTTTGATTTCTGCAATAATATTTAATATTTAAATATTCACTAATTATTATTTTTTACAAAATATTGGATAAAATCTTGTTTTTATATCGTAAATTTATATACTACTTATTATAATTATTATTCTAATTATATTTATTATTATTTATGTATTTATCGTAAAATAGATGTGGGTCGTGTGTTGTACGACCCTATCAAAGAAAGATATTTATATGTACCATATCAATCATCGAATTCACACCTACTTCGAATGAAAGATGATGAATAGCCTTAAAAAAATTCTCTCTCTGTGTGTTTGCAAAAATTTACACTATGAAGTTTTAAGACCTCATTCAAAAGATAAAGTTTTTTTACATGAGATTTTTATGTACGATATTGGAAAAATATCATCTTCTTTGCAAAAATCATCCAGAAAAAAATAATTTGCAAAAGTAATTTTCAAGCATATAAAAACTTGTTTTGAAAATCGGAAACGAGAATATCGTGTAGAAAATCTTCATCTTTCGAATTCATCTTTCGAATTACAATCAAACATAAATTGCAATCAGGAGAATACATGCTGTAAACCATTGCAACATGGAGCATAGATTTCATGCAGATATGCTTGTTTCGCCATCCTATATCGAGAAAATAACGTATATGAATTACATCTAATTTTAACTCATCACGTTACTTGGAAAAATCAAGCAATAGAGTTTTAAAAAATTATTCTTTTGAACAAATATATAATCTCATTAATTTAATTATAATCTATGAGAATTATTATTTTATATAATGAAATGTTTATATAACGAATACGTTTCTGTAGTCCTCTTGCATGTTACTTCTTTTAGACCACTTTGGGTACAGTGTGCTATTTTTTATTTGACCATACATATTCTGTTTTTATTCAAAAATATTTTATTTGATTGTATATATACACAATAACTATTTAATTATAATATATATTTAGAAATTCATTATTATTTCCATCGAATCCTTATAATGATATTTACAATAAATAATATTATCACCAATTTATTATTATAACGCATTGTTTTAAACAGCAAGAGCAATATGATCAGATAAACGAAAGAAGGACGAAGAACTGCAATATTGTTTACAACATGATGTAAATATATATATTATCTTCTAAATAATGTTATTAGTGAGTAAGATAAAAGTCTTAGAATAATCGTTAAAAATAAATTATTTTTTATTTCAGTAATAACAGTATTAAATAACGGAAATTAAAGAAATTTATTATGAATATAAAAAGTGAAGACTGCATCAAGTGCTTTAATACATAAATTTGAAAACATTCAAAAAGTGGAATTAATCGAGTTGGCTCTTATTTATATTATATACATTAAGTTCATATTGTGTCAAGATATTATAATAAGATTTTTTCAATTTGATCCTGCACTTTCATCAAACATTTCGTTCATCCGTCTTTTTTAAAATAATATTGCTCCTTAACTTGTCAATCGTTTGCAATTTGTTGGTATAGATTAGAATTAATATAGCTTCATAGAAAATAGCTAAATTACATTATCTTGATTACCAAATAATGTGATCACTTCGCAAAATAAAGAATTCTTTGAATTATTCAGCCAGTAAGTCACTTGACGATTGATAAGAAGCCAATATCACTCGTGTCATTGATGAAATTGAGTCCTATTTGTATGAGAATGTAATCGAAAATTAAACCAAGAGAATGCACGTGATCATACAGAGCCAAGGTGGTCACTTGATCGTTATTATTTTTCATACATAATGGTATCACTTGAATTTATTTTAAAATAAAGTAAAAAATATTACAATATCACAAATATAATTTGCTTTATTTTAATTTAAACCTTATCACTCTAAGTCTGTTTATCAGGCATTACATTGACTATTTTATTCCTTATTAACTTTACTTTTCGACCACTCAATTGTGTCTCTAAATTTCGTATACTCTTCATTCGCATCTTAGTTAATCTTTTTTTTTTATTTTATTCTAAACGCATCCATTTTACTTTAATGACAAAAAAGAAAAAAATTATTTGCTGCTAATTTAGAAAGATAAGCGAATTGTAATCATAGAAAAAGTTTCAAAATCAAATATGATTATTGATTATTATCGGAATTATATTTTTCTTGGAAATGTATAAAGATTGTTTTAAAATGATTTGAAGATTATTACTTGTGTGTTATGGTCGCATTTAAAGTAAGATATTCCAAACCTAATAAGCAAGCATATATCAAAGATAGTTGCCGATCGTTAATTGCACCAAATAATCGGAGTGATAATAGTTAAAGTTTGTTGTAAGTTCTTAATGGAAAATCCTATTTTAAATTACTACCTTTCTAATAACCTCTGAATACTTTGCATAAAATAATGCTATCTTTAATTAAATTCCCTATTTTATAATATATATAGTATAAAATTTCGTAATATTTACAATATAATATATTGTAAAACCTTTGTATTACCACTTTTAAATATAAGTTATTAGAAGTGATAATATAGTATTTTAGATATAAAGATGTTAAATATAAATTATAGAAAATTGTTTATTATTTATAAAATATAATCTGTATTTACATAAAAAAAAACAATCAAAGCATTTCATACCTTTTACATTTTACAAATAAGTCAAAATAAATATAAAATTCTACACAATACTTATATTGCCTATTTACAAAATACAAATATAATAATAATATGAAAGATATAAATTGTTTTTAATTGTCCGATTCTAATTGTTAATTTTCATTTTGAGCAGTTTCACTAGAAATTTTTTGCTTTATCCATGCTTTCGCTAATGCCAAGAAGTCAAGATTTGCTCTTTGGTATTCGTCTTCTGGGAATACGAAGTCGAATACTTTTTCCCGAAGCCGAATATCTTCTATTTAATATAAATTATTTTTAATATAAATTAAGAATACTTCTTTTTAATTTAAATTCCTCCAAAACTATTTAATGTATGTTATAAAAATCACATACTCCATCTTCTTCAATCATTTGTCTTCTTCGTTTAATTCTTCTAGGCGTTTTGACAATAATTTTAATCTTTAAATATATATATATATACATATATATATATATATATATATATATATATATATATATATATATATATAATATCTCGTATGGATTATGGGAGGTGATAAACGAAAATATATTTCTCTGTGAGCAAAGAAACGACAATTAATGTTTATTATTCACACTGTTAAATTTTATTTCTTTTATCTTCTGTATCTTCTTCTAGCTCTCGCGTTGCTTTTCTCTTCTATGTTATATTTCATACTGCCCGTTTCTCTTCCAAATCTTAACGACTCGATTTGTAGGTTACAAAAGAAATTGTAAATAATAAAGGACAATGCAAGGGCGAGCTATAAGACATGTGGCAAATCTACCTGAAGAAAGTGTACTTTCTTTACATATATATAATTATACCATGAAATCACGCTTACTTTGACATAAACATTTCGTTCTAATAACCTCTCAAATAGTTGTCTGGTATTTTCTATTTCATCCTGAGATATTTCAAAATCTATATATGACTTCCATAAAAGTTCAGGCATATCCAAACTAAATAACAAAAATAATAAAAATATTAAACGTTTTTGATAAAAAATAAAAATAAAAGAAAATGACAGATTTAATTATATTTAGTAGTAATTTCTAAAAATATAACTTAATTCGTCTAAGACACAATTAATTCATAAATATAAGTACAATAAAACATAAGATAAATGAAACTATACGAAAAGTAATTTACTTTCATTCATATTGTGCAGTTTTGAAGTACAAATTCAAATAATTTTTCATATAGAATCCTGCCTCTGTCAAATTTTCTAGATTGTACCTCTAAATCATTGTAACCAAGAAACAATTTGTCTTTGAGATATACATCCAATACCATACCTCGTAATAAATGAATTTAAATATTTAAAAATACAATAATTTAATACTTATAAATAATAAAAAAATTATTATAATAATAGTATTCTAATGTTTTTCTCGCTATAGTCAAATTTTTTTGTTGTATTTCGAAATATGCATAACATAGTTACATCTTAGAAAATGTGATATGTTTATGTAGAACAAGATCTAAACAGAATCTAAAAAATAAAAAAAATATTATAAAATTCTATCTTTATATGCAACAATAAAGTATTATAAAATTATTTCTTTATATATAACAATAATTTTATATAAGATAAACTGTATCTGTGAATTTGACAATATCTATCTATAACTTCCGTGTCAATTTTTTCGTACAAAGCATAATTTACAGATAGATATATCGTTTCCATGCTGCTATAAAAAATTTATTTAATGGAAAGGAAATTCAATTTGACTTCAGAATTGTTAAAATGTAAATATTCATTACCTTAGCAAGAGGGACATTTGCTATAGCTCGCTCATACGTTCTTACAACATTATGATTTTCTTCAGATTTTATTAATCTCAGATAGTCAAATCAAGCGTCATAGTCAGAAGAATTTTCCTTGACTTCTTGCCCATATTGATATTTTCTTTTGCTAATTATTACATCTTCAATGCATACTTAAAAATATTATGAAATTTGTGTTATTTTTTTATAAATTTATACAAATTAATATTAATACTTAAAACTTTTTAATTCATATTTCGTATTAAATAAATCTTAATCTTTATAGTATGAATTTCTTGCAAAATCACCAATTTCTTTTCGTGTATGGTATATGCATCATATATTTCTTTTGTTCTTTCTTTTGAAATATTGTCTAAAGCATACTTAGAAATTATTTTTGTTTTATCATGCTATCAGAGACATATTAAAATTATACTTATTATAACAAAGATACTGAATATATTGTTATCTTAAAATAATACTTCTTTTTGTCCTTCTTCAAATCTTGCGAATGCTGTAAATAGCTTTTCATCTAAGATCTCATCTTCGAAAAAGTTTATAACATCTTCATAAAATTTGCGTTCTATATTTACTACAAAACTATATATCTTCCTATACAATTATATATCTCTACCTAACTCTTTCTATTTCTTTATATCGTAATTCAAATTTAATGTTTGTCATGGCTGTTAGGTCCCCATTTCATCCATCTCTCAAAAACTAGACGTATTTATGTAATAAATCTCTATAAAATCAAGTTATATAATAAAAAATAATCCCTAATTTTATTTCAAATGTTACCAGTAATATTTTCTAACATTTCTTTCATATATGTGTATTTGTATCAAAATTGATTTGTTGTATGTAAAATTGACTGCACGATCTAATAAATTTCTGGCATAATTATTGCGCATTTCTATTTCAATATAATATAGCCATAATGTAATGTTTCTATGATCAACATCTAGCGCACGTTCATATACAGATTTAAAATAAATTGGACACATAAAACCTTGAAATATTTCTAATACAACTAAAACTATAAAATGTACTATTTTTTATATTTAAAGTATCTTGCTCTTTGCATTGTTTCTGACTTTTTTCCCATCGGGCATATTCCATCAGATTCGTTATAACCATATGATTCTTACACATATTGTAGTCATAGATATTTCATTTTCCATATTGATAATCAGCCAATTTATGGGGATATTTTATTTTCTGCTTAGGTGGCTAAAAGGGAATACTTACAAATGAATTGTTCTCTATGTAAAATTATAGATAGGTTTAACATTATTGCATAAAGATTTTTTTCTTTGTTTCTCTTAATAGCTGTTTTGCTATGATTTAAATTTTCTCGGGTGCTTTGTTTTTCACCTCACAAAATTTTAATTGTGAATAAATATTACAATTATAAGTTGTGCATGCTATAATTTATAATTATAAAATAAAATATACTAATGTATAATAAACATTTTACCTTAGCCACTTTGAGCATTTTTTGTGACTTCTCCGTGACGATGGTTATCGTTATTCTAATCAAATAAACACAGCTTCGTCAACGCTCAAGTGAAAACATTCTCGCAACTGGTTCCTTCTACGCCATACCTATCGCATATGATCTTTTAACCTTTTAGCTACTAAATGCCATTATAATGGCTTTCGCATGTTATCAATTTGAAAGGTATGCTACTATAGAGGCATTCGCGCAAATCATTTTTTCGAAGGATAAGAAGGCACTATAATTACATTCATGGATATCATATTAACATATTGTGTACTTTTTGAATTCTTTACATAAAAATGTATAAGTAAATTATATCTTATTTATGTACAGCCCTATTCCGATCTAATGTTCAATCTAATAATAAGAAATGTCGTCTATGGTTTACGCGCTGAAACTTTGCACATCAAATAACAATAGTAATATTTTTATTTAGCTTTGTTCGATATACTATAGGTATAATCAGCCTGTGACTTTTAGCAGTTACGGCAGTGACTTCGAGAAGAATCCAAGAAAGAATAAATGATTTCTTTTGTATTCCCGGCATCTTTGTCGTTTACTTTGTTTTCGGCATCTTTGTTATTTCTCACTTTGTTTGGTTATTTTCCCACGTGTACATTTACTGGCGCTGAGGCGTGTTAGTTATATGTATTGCGAGAGAACGCGTTACATTCGCAACGAAATCGCCATAATTGCGACTATTGCGCCAAAGCATTGGTTAACTACAACGTCATAGTTATTTTTATAAAATAAAATAAATTACAAATTGAACTTTGGTATTACCAATATTTGAACTATTAGTTGAATTTAACGATAACTACCTTTTGCACTAAGTGTGTGTGATCTTAGCGACAGGTATGGGCAAAATATGAACTAGGAAACAAGCAACGGTATTTGTCGCCACCGTGTATCTATCGTATCGAGTTAATTATTCCCCTCTCACATACATACATAATTGGTTTCGTTGGATTATGGTACACCGTACTAAACCGTTACAATGTTTTTGTTTATTTCATTATTACTTTTTATTAGTAAGAATTTGAGTAATCTTGTATTTTTTGACTTTATACTTTTAACAATTTTGTTGTATTGTACAATGATATTGTTATAATTTTTTTTTCAGATTATGATTTTTCGTGCAGTCATAGATGAATCGATCTTTGTTTCGATAAAATAAAGGAATTGTGAAGTAGATTTGTTGTTAATGTTTTTCGGTTTATTTAAATTTGTTTGCGTTTTACGATGTTAAAAAACTTTTAGGAATATGTCTGTATGAATAATTTGGGTGCAAAGCAGTCATAGAGTCAATATTTGTTCGTATAGAATTTTATTTTTGTTGTTTTCTACAATTAGACATACTGTATATATAAAACAGGTAATAGATATTCGCGAATTAAATTCATTGTTTACCTCTTAATTATTAAATAATTATTGCGCATATGAGTCAGTGTACCAGGGAAGATAATTAATGACCTATTATACTTCTGTAGAAGAATATTGGTAAATAAATGTTTAAATTTAATAGCTAATATAATTCTACATTTTTTTTATTACGATAAATTTAATAAAAATTGTGTTTAATCCTTTTTCAGATTTGCATTGTCATTAAGTTAATGTATTACAATTTCAATCTAATTAATTTTCCATCTACGTCGATTCATTTAATTTTGGACTTATTACGGAACAAATTACATAAATTTCGAGCTACAACGGGGCGAGTGTTTTGGAGCTATTGTGGATCTTAAGCAGTGAGTGAATAAATTTAAGTCCCTCCAGTATATATTATGTCGAGGATGAAAGATTCGACTTGACATGAGTTACTAGTTGTAATTTTTTCTATTAATTGTTGACGAATAGCCATTCATAATTAACTTTTTGGATTTACTCTTGAATGGTACAGTTTTAATTGTTTTTTTTATTGGGCTTAGTCTAGTTTCATTAGTTTAGGATAGTATTTTCTTGTTTTATTAATGAGTCATTTAATTAATACAAGTCATGCAACAACTCTTTGCAGTGTGATTTAAGTGCGATTGGTTGTCATAATTGGTGACGAAGGCGCTCGCTCACACGTTGGCTTCTGCAGCTTTTTGAGTATGCATGCTTGAGCGTGTGCCAATTATGTGGATGCTAACGAAATTAATTATTATAAAAACCATAAAATCTGATTAATTTGAATAAACATATTTTTGCACATGCATTTAAACGTTATAATATAATCAAACAGATCATAACACAAAAAGTAAGTCTTTCGAGATCTTCTTTAGATGCAATAATCGAAAACAATTCATCCAGTAAAATGAAATAATTTTTGGCCTAGAAGTACTAGTAACATTCTATTTCAATTTGTGAAGATATGCTTATTTTTAATTTCTAACGTTTAGAAAAAATTAATAATCGTGTGATATCTTTCAATGCAGTATGGTGCATCTAACACAATTTGGCATCTTTTGTATTTCCATGTTGTTTCAATATATTTCTTATATTTTTCACCAATTTTATAAGCTCTTATTTATTTTTTGATATTGTTAAATTGTTTTTTATTTTCTTGTTTTTTTTTTATTGTTTTTTTATATTCTTTGAAAAATGAGCCCAATGTTGCATCTATAGTTTTCGTGATGTTTATTGCTATTCGATAAGTTATTCTGAATCGTTTTTCATTATCCACTAATTGTGCAGTTTTTAATAATAATTCTATAATATTTATTCTATATTCAATATAACTTTGTTTTTTTTCTTCATTTATTGTTTCGTATAGTATATATCTATTAAAAAGTGCCTTGTCGAATGTATATAAGATGAATTTTCTATATATTTTCATATATTATCTCATAATACGAAAAGAAATTAGTGATTAATTTCAATCGTGCTTTTATTATATTCAGTGACATATTTTAGTTTTAAAATTCGATTGAATTGAGTTTATTCTTGCCTACAATTAGTTATTTCTGCAATTTTGTACTTTGTAGAAATGGCATAAACGTTTCATTTATTTTCTCCTTTCAGTTATATTTTCCCGTTTTTAATTTTTAACCGACAAAATCTGGGTATATTGGTTTCATTAAAACGCATAGTTCCATGTGTTTTATGTTTAATTATTGTTAAAAACAGTTTCGGTGACGCATATTATTTTTCAACATATGAAATAATTTATTGAAAATTGATTGTGACAATTTCATAATTTTTTGGTGCGTTATTATTAGAATTTATTTTGTCATTACCTATATATATCATAAAATGATAGCAATAATTTCACGCTGATTCATATCATTTATAAATTATTATGCCAAATCTTTGTAGGTTAGATTATATTGTTTAGATGAAATAAGTCTCTTAAATTGCATTAATGATTTATTAATGCTGACATCCATGTGTATACATTTTTGAATTTATGAATAAACAAATTTATTATAACTTTTATTTTATGTAATCAGTCTGTATTATCAACTGCATCATTATTTGTTAAATGCAAAAATATAGTAATTTGTAAAAATCTTATGAATGGTATAATCTTTCTGAATATTGGCTATTTTGTAATGACTCTTTCAAAGCAGTCATTTGAATTTTTATTTTTATTTTTTTTTTATCTGTATTATTATTATATATAATATAATTTTATTTCATCACAATTTACAGGAACTTCAGTCGTGTTACAATTTTGTTTATTTTGCTTAAAATCAAAAATGAATAATTAATTTTCATCAAATCTATCTATCGATATATTGCATTAAAACATTTCAAACATAAATGTAGCTGATCAATACAATCTGGGAAGTATATGGCTTTTTGTCTGAATTTTAGCACTCATTGTTCTAAAACTTGCAAAATTCTTTTGCTAACATTGTACAATTTTCGCACTGTGTATACTAGTCCTACCTTCTTTTACATTTTATGGTTTACTCCTCTTCGGATAGATATATTTGATGGCCCTATATCTACATCACGGCACTATGTGAGATGCATTGACAGTTCCATTCGAAAGTCAGAGATCTTTATTTTTCTTTTTTCATTTTCAGTTTATATATTTGTAGCTGATGTATTTAATAACAATTCGATAGCTAATTTTATATACCGCATGAGGGTTTTTCTGTGTGGTGTAGAATATCCTATCATCTGATTGGACAAATTACATCTCATTTCCCTACATTGTAATTTAAAACTACTGTTAATTTTTCACGTGTGTAATTATTTTTGCATACAGTTACTGTTTGCCCCAAATATTTTGTGGAAATTATTAATATGTCTGTTGTTTAATAACCATAATCCTTTTCCTATTTTGCATTGTAGTCAATTTTTCTCGTTTTAATTTTTTTAGTTTAACTTCTACGGATATTCTTTTACGGTTTTTCCTTATAGTTTCTATCAAATGAGTGTTACAAGCAATTAATTTTTTAGCTAAATTGATATTGGTATACCAATTGTCTGCGTAAATTGTGTGGCCTTTATGCGGTATATTGTTACACATGCTCATTACAAGACTTGTTAGTGTTAAATATGGTGCGTTTGATTTTTTTTCCAAAATATATTTGAAATTGGTATGTATATCTTGGATCATAAAATAATTTAAATAGTTTAATATTATTTTTATGATACTTCTGTTTTAAAAATTATTTAAGAATTATGCATCCTCAAAATGGTATTAATAATTCATTAATACGTACATCAACTATTCCATCGAGATCGTAATATTTACAAAAATTTTGATTGGATACATCCCCAAGTCTGCTTATCTTATATAGCCTTCTGGTTATGTTTAATTTTGTTTGCTATCTGGTTATTATTAATTTTATGCCAAAAATCTCAATGTAATTCCAGATCTTTGATTTATTACTTTTTACTTGACTCAAATCTATTGATCTGATGATTGATGACTAGTACCTCATTTATTATCAGTAGACTCTGTATGTTTATGCACAATGTGTATAACAAATATGTATGTAACATATATTTATCCACGAAAACATATGCAAATATGTACAAAAAATATGCAAATATAAACGAAATATTTGGCATGTTAAGTATTAACAATATATTTTGCAATTACTGTGATATATTATGTGTCGAATTATAATATATTATAAGCGTCTTTCCCATATTCGATGGTGTTAATTGGGGACTTTCATCTATAAAAATTAACTTATATGCGAAGAATGATCATTCCACATCAGGATATAATGGGTGCATACTTAAATTTACTCCAACATTCTGGTAGTTCCTTCGGCCCGACAACGAAATTATTATTTAAAATTTTTGAGACTTCTATTAATATAGACAATCCCATTTTTTTTTGTTATAATTCCCCATGCTTTCTTTTTGCTTTTTCCTCCACAATTACCAGGTATGTTGCACAGACCATTAATACAATTTAAATATATTTCTGTTGAATTGGTTAGCGGTAAACTTATGGTTTCTATCTTTTCCATTGTGTTCAGTAAAAAGCTAAAATAAGTTTTCATGAAGATTAAATCTTGTGCGAGTTTTTCTTATTAGACCATATATGTTGCAATCCTAATTACTGTAACATTTATTATATTAAAATTTTCAATTACTATTAACGTAAAAAATAGAATAAATACGTATGTATATACAAAAAAGTTTTTCTTACCAAATGATTGCATATTACCTATATTTTTTATTTTATCAAAATATTCGATATAAAATAGTGCAGTTTCTATCTACGTATCCCATTTAATTAAAATAGGTTCTAATGGCAAAAGAATATTTTGTAATGTTTTCTTATATACTTCAATATGAAGTGATGCTTTCAAAAATACTTTTTTCACAGATTTTTACCAAAAGTTTTAAAATTTTTATATATTACGTCATGGATCATGTCTCAAACAAAAAAAAAACGAAGTTGAAAATCTTGTTTCTTTCGGCCCGTCTATTACAATTTAGTAATTTGCCTCGTTTTCGGTTAGCGCAAAACTCCA